AAAGACAACACAGAGACACACAGAGAGAGACACACAACATAGCCACACAGAGACACAGAGAGAGACAACATAGAGACACACAGAGACACAGAGAGAGACACACAACATAGCCACACAGAGACACAGAGAGAGAGAGAGAGAACACAGAGACACAGAGAGAGACACACAGACAGACACACAAGCAGAGAGAGACAACACAGAGACACACAGAGAGAGACACACAACACAGACACACAGAGAGAGACACACAACACAGAGACACACAGAGACACACAGAGAGAGACACACAACACAGAGACACACAGAGAGAGACACACAGACAGACACACAGAGAGAGACAACACAGAGACACACAGAGAGAGACACACAACACAGACACACAGAGAGAGACACACAACATTGACACACAGAGACACAGAGAGAGACAACACAGAGACACACAGAGAGAGACACACAACAGAGACACACAGAGACCCAATGTCTCTGTGTAGAGGCCTTAAATATCAAGTCGGAATTGATAGCTTGAAACAAGGGCGTAATTATAATATGTATTGGGGGGGACACATCCCCCCCAATATGTTGCTATAAAATAGATGTATGTTTATATGATTGTGGTTATGGTTGTACTTTGTTGATCCCTAATCTCTGCCATGACATACAATGAAACAAGAAAAGGATTTTTTTTTTAAACAGAGCAATGTAATACAATACACTATTAGACATTTTTGCAAATAAAAAAAAAGAGTACATCCCATGTGTTAGTACATTTTTCTATATTTTAGGCAGGAAATTCGTTTTCAAATTTCGATTATTTTTTCGGGGGGGGGAGGGGGGGGGACCCCCAGACCCTCTGGAAGATTTGGTCCCCCCCAATGTTCACTCCATGGCTACGGCCTTGGCTTGAAATAATTTTGCGTGAAAAGTTGGGGGCCCGTAGCATGCGTAGTCGCTACTTGTGCGACTGGGAGAATCCGGCACGCAGCAACAGCAGCAGCAGCAGCTACCCCCGCACCAGAATGTGCCACGCGTGGAATGTGAATTCACAATAAATGGTCACGACTCGTGCGAACCGCCACGTGTATACAAAGGCAAAGATCCCCCGGGCTCCCGTATAGGCTCTACCAGACCTGTAAAGGGTGGTGGTGGGGGCCAAGTGGCTTGTGAGCGAGTTAGCAGCACCAGCAGCAGCGAGCAGCATCTATGAAGGGCTGGCAACAGTGGGGCACTACGTACGGTGCGATAGAAGTTCGACATACATACATAGACTCACACAGAAACCCATGGACTCACGCAGAGATCCATATACAGTACTCGTGCGAGTCCATGGGTCTCTGTGTGAGTCTATGAGTCTCTGTGTGAGTTTATGGGTCTCTGTGTGAGACTATGGGTCTCCGTGTGAGTCTATGGGTATTTGTGCGAGTCTATGGGTCTCGGTGTGAGTCTATGGGTCTCGGTGTGAGTCTATGGCTCTCTGTGTGAGTCTATGGGTCTCGGTGTGAGACTATGGCTCTCTGTGTGAGGCTATGTGTCTCTGTGTGAGTCTGTGGGTCTCGGTGTGAGTCTATGGGTCTCTGCGTGAGTCTATGGGTCTCTGTGTGAGTCTATGGGTCTCTGTATGAGTCTATGGGTCTCTGTGTGAGTCTATGGGTCTCTGCGTGAGTCTATGGGTCTCTGTGTGAGTCTATGGGTCTCGGTGTGAGTCTATGGCTCTCTGTGTGAGTCTATGGGTCTCGGTGTGAGTCTATGGATCTCTGCGTGAGTCTATGGATCTCTGTGTATGTACTGTACGTTGAACTTCTTTCGCACCGTACGTAGCCCAGCGTGATAATCGGAGGTGCGGGGGAAGGACAAACAAACAAAACACAGAGGACTGCGAGATCTTGGGCAATAGTTGGAAGCGGCCTTGCAGCGTTCCGCCCGTTGGTTCCTCGGCGATTGTGACATGCACTGAAACTAAAGAACATGATGACCACGATCATAATGATTGTAGGAATTGATTTTAATCTATGCGAACCTTGCAGTGGATTGACCACGATGAGCGCAGTTGCTGCTGAGTGGGGCATCAGTTATGAAAACCACGTGCCCGTGTGTCTGTGTGTGAGAAAGTGAATCATGGGTTGCTCACAGCAATTGAGCAATAACACGCGTGTTTGTGTCTGTGTGTGTATTTGTGTGTATCTGTGTGCGTGTGTGTGTTTGTGCGTGTTTTTTTGTGCGTGTGTATCTATGTGTATATATCTGTGTGTGTATATATGTATGTGTGTATCTGTGTGTGTTTTTCTGTGTTTGTATATGTGTGTGTGTATATGTGTGCATGTATCTAGGCTGGCCTGCCTACGATCCATCTTGGGTTTGACCAGGCTGGATTGTGTGGAGCTCACAAATCCTTGAAAGATCTGGGCAAGGTCCCATCGGTGAGCTCCTCCGGCAGGCAAGGCTGCGTTGGCTGGGCCATGTAGCCCGCATTCCCAGCCACCGCATGCCGAAACAGCTTTTGTCCGGCCGGATCGAGGGGGCTAAACGGGCGCGGCACGGGCTAGAGAAGAGATGGAGTGATGTGGTACAGGAGGACGTGGAGCTGAGTGGACTTGCCGATGACTGGTACCAGCGGTATCAAGATTGGTCTCTGTGGAGGAGGCTCGTGAAGGACGCTACTGGGCAGTTGGAGGCAGTCGCCCTCCAACAACAACGGAGGGCGGAGGAGCGACGCTCACAACAACGAGCGGAGCGCCGGGTAGCTAAAGCACAGCAGGTTGGCATAGTAGGGGGCACAGGTGGTGCATCAGCCAGTCATCTCAGTCAGTCGACCCGTGGCACTTGGGTCTGCCCCGTGACCTCCTGCCAGCGGGCGTTCGACACTTCACGTGGCCTCAAGGTGCACATGGCCTGGCACAAGCGTCGTGGTGACATCACTGCCACTTAGTGGCGAATGGCGGTTGTTGTTGTTGTATCTGTGTGTGTATCTGTGTGTATCTGCGTGTCTGTGTGTGTATCTGCGTGTGCATCTGTGTGTGTGTCTGTGTGTGTATCTGTGTGTGTGTCTGTGTGTGTGTATGTGTGTCTGTGTGAGAGAGAGAACGTGGAGTGGGAGAGACAAGGGGAGAGGTTACAGAGAGGGTGCTGACGCCACTGCAGTGGTTGGTGGTGGTGGTGGCGTTGGGGAAGCGGAAAGGGAGACTTCAGTTGGGAGAACGACAGAAGGGAGAGAGTCAGGGAGAGAGAGTGGACGGGGGGGGAGAGTGGTAGGAGTGGATTGGAGAGAGATTATGGAGACTAGTGGAGAGAGTTTGGTGGTGGTTGAGAGAGAGGAAGGAAGGGAGAGTTAAGTTGGGAGAGCGACAATTCAAGAGACCCAGAGAGAGAGAGAGTTGGGGAGTTGGAGGAGAGGGAGAGAAGAGTGATGGGAGCGTCAGGAGATTGAAGAGGGGGTGGAGAGTAAGAGAGAGTGAATGCATGGGGGAGAGAGAGAGAGGGAGAGAGTTTGCTGTTCGTGGTGGTGGTTAAGTTTTTTCAGTTTATTTATTTTGGTATAGCCCTGTGAGCCATCCGGCTCTTGAATCGGGTGCAACCACAACAAACAAAAACACAAAAACACGAACAAGAAAAACATCTTCAAGTGACTACGTGACTTTGTGCAAACAGAAAATCCATGAAAAAACACAGCAAAATATTCCTGAAAAAAGCACCGTACACCAACCTTATTACAGACCAATTCAGACCGTATTAGTCACCCCCGTGACCCTTATAAATCTTAACGTTCATCTTACAAAGTCCCATAGTTCATAGTTCCATAGTTCATTTATTTGGTATAGCCCTGTGAGCCATTCGGCTCTTGCATCGGGTGCAACCGCAACACACAAAAACATGAACAAGAAAACATCTTAAAGTGATTATGTGACTGTGCAAACAGAAAATCCATGAAAAAACACAGCAAAATATTCCTGAAAAAAGCACCGTACACCAACGCTGTGTGCAAAAAATCCCAGTGGGATGCAAGTCAAACAACAACTTTAATAATAACAACAACAACCACAAGAAAACTTAGATTAAGGCCTTCAGTCTAACTCCGTACTACAACAAAACAAACATGTCCAAACCAAAAAACGTTTTCCAACTCACCAAAAAACTAAAGCCATAATTGCAACGTAACAGTGATCACAGGGACTGTGAACCGAATTTTTAACAATAAACTACATAAATAACATGTAACACCAAATCCTAGAGCCACAGCTGGCTGCATAAGTCACTCCACAACAACAGGAGCATCAGTCAGAGTAGCAAATTTTTCAATGCACCTTTAAGATCAGCACGCTAAATCAAAATACAGAAAATACTTTGCAGCGGTCATCCGGAGCGAAACATTTTATTTTATTTTACGCCAATGAATATCCGTGGCAGCTAGGGGTGTACAACTCCTCTAGAGCGGTGATGGTTGTAGTGGTGAGGGGAGAGCAATGGAGAGTTTGGTGGACAGCGCTGATCTGAACCGGTCCCCGCAGTCCTCCGCTAGGTTGACTCAGCCTCAAATGGGTGAACCCGGCGCGTTGTGAAGTTAAACGTCGCCGCTGGGGGGGGGGGGAGAGAGAGACAAAGGCGGCCGGGGCGTGGGTGTTGGCCCCGCCCTCCACGTTGTGCCCCCACAGTGCCAGCCTTCGTAGGTGCTGCTGCTACTCGCTAGCAGCACTTGTCCCGACAGTCTGTTAGAGGCTACACGGGGGAGCTTTGTCTTTGTCTCCTTCATAGGTGCTGCTGCTACTCGCTAACGGCACTTGCCCCATCAGTCTGTTAGAGGCTACACGGGGGAGCTTTGTCTTTGTCTCCTTCATAGGTGCTGCTGCTGCTACTCGCTACTAACAGCACTTGCCCCGACAGTCTGTTAGAGGCTACACGGGGGAGCTTTGTCTTTGTTTGGTGTTAGCGGTCGAGGGGGGGAGAGAGGAGGGGAGGGGGAGGGAGGAGGGGAGAGGGAGGGGAGGAGGGGGGGAGAGTTAAGAGAGAGCGAGCGAGAGAGAGAGGCAGGAAGAGGTGGAAAGTTGGAGGCTGAGTGGTGAGGTCCGTGGTTTGCTGCGTCTCTCTGTGTGTGTGTGTCTCTCTGTGTCTCTCTGTGTCTGTGTGTCTCTGTGTGTGTGTCTGTGTGTGTGTCTCTGTGTGTGTGTGTGTCTGTGTGTGTGTCTGTGCGTGTGTGTCTGTGTGTGTGTCTCTGTGTGTGTCTGTGTGTGTGTGTCTCTGTGTGTCTCTCTGTGTCTGTGTGTCTCTGTGTGTGTCTCTGTGTGTGTCTCTGTGTGTGTGTCTCTGTGTGTGTCTGTGTTTGTGTGTCTCTGTGTGTGTCTCTCTGTGTCTGTGTCTCTGTGTGTGTCTCTGTGTGTGTGTCTCTGGGTGTGTGTGTCTCTCTCTGTGTGTCTCTGTGTGTCTCTCTGTGTCTGTGTGTGTGTCTCTGTGTGTGTCTCTGTGTGTGTGTCTCTGGGTGTGTGTGTCTCTGTGTGTGCCTCTGTGTGTGTGTCTGTGTGTGTGTGTCTGTGCGTGTGTGTCTCTGTGTGTCTCTCTGTCTGTGTGTGTGTCTCTGTGTGTGTCTGTGTGTGTCTCTCTGTGTGTGTGTCTCTGGGTGTGTGTGTCTCTGGGTGTGTGTGTCTCTGGGTGTGTGTGTGTCTCTGTGTGTGTCTGTGTGTGTCTGTGTGTGTGTGTCTCTGTGTGTGTGTCTCACTGTTCCTGTGTCTGCCTGCGTGTCTGTGTGTATTTCCAAAACTCTGTCTGTCTGTGTGTGTCTGTCTGTGTGTCTCTGTGTGTGTCTCTGTCTGTGTGTCTCTGTGTGTGTGTGTCTGTGTGTGTGTGTCTCTGTGTGTGTGTCTCTGTGTGTGTGTCTGTGTGTGTGTCTGTGTGTGTGTGTCTGTGTGTGTGTCTGTGTGTGTGTGTGTCTGTGTGTGTGTCTCTGTCTGTGTGTCTCTCTGTGTGTCTTGTCGTGTCTCTGCCGTTGTGTCTCACTGTCCCTGTGTCTGCCTGCGTGTCTGTGTGTATTTCCAAAACTCTGTCTGTCTGTGTGTGTCTGTCTGTGTGTCTCTGTGTGTGTCTCTGTCTATTTGTGTGTCTCTGTGTGTGTGTTTCTGTGTGTGTGTCTCTGTCTGTGTGTCTCGGTGTGCGTGTCTCGGTGTGCGTGTCTTTGTATATCCTGGTTTCTCTGTCTCTCTGATTAGAGTGTCTCTGTCTGTCTGTGTGTCTCTGTGCGTGTGTCTCTGTGCGTGTGTCTCTGTCTGTCTGGGTGTCTCTGTCTGTGTGTGTCTCTGTTGTTTACGCTTGGCAGGAGAGACATCGAGACTTTGCAAACAACTCCGCCTACAGGTGAGATGTGACACACTCACCATTACACTCACCACTCACACAACTCACACACACCACACACATCACACACACACACCACTCACACACACACACCACTCACACACACACCACTCACACACCACACACACACCACTCACGCACACACACCACTCACACACACCACTCACACACACACACCACTCACACACACACACCACTCACACACACACCACTCACACACACACACCACACACACACCACTCACACACACCTTACACACCACTCACACACCTGTGCTGCCCCCATAGACACCATTACACAGTTACTGTCTTACGCACACACCACTCACACACACACACCACTCACACACACACACCACTCGCACACACACACACCACTCACACACACACACCACTCACACACACCACTCACACACACACCACTCACACACACACACACCACACACACACACCACTCACACACACACCACTCACACACACCACTCACACACACACACACCACACACACACACCACTCACACACACCACTCACACACACACCACTCACACACACACACCACTCACACACACCACACACACACACCACACACACACACCACTCACACACACACCACTCACACACACACACCACTCACACACACCACTCACACACACCACTCACACACACACCACTCACACACACACCACTCACACACACACCACTCACACACACCACTCACACACACCACACACACACACCACACACACACACGAACACACACACCACTCACACACACACCCACTCACACACACACAACTCACACACAACTCACACACACACACAGCACTCACACACACACACCTTACACACCACTCACACACACACCACACACACCTTACACACACACCTTACACACACACACCTTACACACACACCACTCACACACACACCACTCACACCTTACACACACCACACGCACTCGCTCGTGTGCAGCAATATCCTGTCTCATAAATGCTCTCTCTGTCTCCTTACACTTCACACCACACTGGCTCTCTCTCTCTCTCTACTGTCTATCATACACACCCCTCAACATACACACACACCTCAACATAAACACCCCTCTACATACACACACCTCTACATACACATACCTCTACATACACACACCTCTATACACACACCTCAACATACACACACCTCAACATACACACACCTCAACATACACACACCTCTACATACAAAGATACATACACACACCTCAACATACACACACCTCAACATACACACACCTCAACATACACACACCTCTACATACACACACCTCTATACACACACCTCAACATACACACACGCCTCTACATACACACACCTCTACATACACACACCTCAACATACACACCCTCAACATACACACACCTCAACATACACACACCTCAACATACACACACCTCTACATACACACACCTCTATACACACACACCTCAACATACACACACACCTCTACATACACACATACACACACCTCTACATACACACAACAACCGCCATTCGCCACTAAGTGGCGGTGACGTCACCACGACGCTTGTGCCAGGCCATGTGCACCTTGAGGCCACGTGAAGTGTCTAACGCCCGCTGGCAGGAGGTCACGGGGCAGACCCAGGTGCCACGGGTCGACTGACTGAGATGATTGGCTGATGCACCACCTGTGCCCCCTACTGTGCCAACTTGCTGTGCTTTAGCCACCCGGCGCTCCGCTCGTTGTTCTGAGCGTCGCTCCTCCGCCCTCCGTTGTTGTTGGAGGGTGACTACCTCCAACTGCCCAGTAGCAGCAGCGTCCTTCACGAGCCTCCTCCACAGAGGCCGATCTTGACACCACTGGTACCAGTCATCGGCAAGTCCACTCAACTCTACGTCCTCCTGTACCACATCACTCCATCTCTTCTCTAGCCCGTGCCGCGCCCATTTAGCCCCCTCGATCCGGCAGAACAAAAGCTGTTTCGGCATGCGGTGGCTGGGTATGCGGGCTACATGACCCAGCCAACGCAGCCTTGCCTGCTGGAGGAGCTCACCGATGGGACCGTGCCCAGATCTTTCAAGGATTTGTGAGCTCCTCACACAATCCAGCCTGGTTGAACCCAGGATGGATAGTAGGCAGGCCAGCCTAAATGTTTCTAACCGGCGAAGATGTTCCATTAGGGGGGGTCCACGTTTCGCAAGCGTAGTGAAGGGAGGGAATGACCGTGGCCGAGAAGACCTGAAGCTTAGTGCGGAGCGACAGACCAGGTAGCTTCCACACAGCGTTACGCAACCGATGAAAAGATATTGCCACTCGACTGATTCGGAGTGAGACCTCTGCTGTTAAACTGGAGCCGGTCATAAGCACACTGCCCAGGTATGGGAAACTCTCCACTCTCTCCACAACTGCCCCATCACCGATTGAGAGTTGTGGGGGTGGAGTGTCCGATGGTACAAAATACCCAGGCAGGTGCTTAGTTTTGGTGGGGCTGATGGTAAGGCCCCATTTCTTAGTGGCACGCTCCAGTCTCAGCAGCAGCGTCTCCAACTCCTCCCCTGAATGAGCAGCTATTACCAAATCATCGGCATACATAACGTGGTTGAGCAATAGGGAGCCATCCCTTGACCGCACCCGGGCATCGATCAGCCTCCCATTATATCTGTATCATTATATCTGGTACACACAACAACAACAACCGCCATTCGCCACTAAGTGGCGGTGACGTCACCACGACGCTTGTGCCAGGCTATGTGCACCCTGAGGCCACGTGAAGTGTCGAACGCCCGCTGGCAGGAGGTCACGGGGCAGACCCAGGTGCCACGGGTCGACTGACTGAGATGACTGGCTGATGCACCACCTGTGCCCCCTACTGTGCCAACTTGCTGTGCTTTAGCCACCCGGCGCTCCGCTCGTTGTTCTGAGCGTCGCTCCTCCGCCCTCCGTTGTTGTTGGAGGGCGACTACCTCCAACTGTCCAGTAGCATCCTTCACGAGCCTCCTCCACAGAGGCCGATCTTGACACTGCTGGTACCAGTCATCGGCAAGTCCACTCAGCTCCACGTCCTCCTGTACCACATCACTCCATCTCTTCTCTAGCCCGTGCCGCGCCCGCTTTGCCCCCTCAATCCGGCCGAACAAAAGCTGTTTCGGCATTCGGTGGCTGGGCATGCGGGCTACATGATCCAGCCATCGCAGCCTTGCCCGCCGGAGGAGCTCACCGATGGGACCGTGCCCAGATCTTTCAAGGATTTGTGAGCTCCTCACACAATCCAGTCTGGTTAAACCCAGGATGGATCGTAGGCAGGCCAGCCTAAATGTTTCTAACCGGCGAAGATGTTCCATTAGGGGGGAGTCCACGTTTCGCAAGTGTAGAGAAGGGAGGGAATGACCGTGGCCGAGAAGACCTGAAGCTTAGTGCGGAGCGACAGACCAGGTACCTTCCACACAGCGTTACGCAACCGATGAAAAGATATTGCCGCTCGACTGATTCGGAGTGAGACCTCTGCTGTTAAACTGGAGCCGGTCATAAGCACACTGCCCAGGTATGGGAAACTCTCCACTCTCTCCACAACTGCCCCATCACCGATTGGGAGTTGTGGGGTGGAGTGTCCGATGGTACAAAATACCTAGGCAGGTGCTTAGTTTTGGTGGGGCTGATGGTAAGGCCCCATCTCTTAGTGGCACGCTCCAGCCTCAGCAGCAGCGTCTCCAACTCCTCCTCTGAATGAGCAGCTATTACCAAATCATCGGCATACATAACGCGGTTGAGCAATAGGGAGCCATCCCTTGACCGCACCCGGGCATCGATCAGTCTCCCATTATATCTGTATCATTATATCTGGTACACACAGACACAAAACAAAAAAAAACAAAGATCCCCCGTATAGCCTTAACAGACTGTAGGGGCAAGTGCTGTTAGCGAGCACCTATGAAGGCCGGAACGGTACACGAGGGGGTGGGTGGCCAGCACCACGCCCGACCGCCTTTGTCTCCCTAGTGGCAATGTTTACACACCACACCAGGTACTCATTTGAGGCTGAGTCGACCTAGGGGAGGCCCGGGACCGGTTCAGATAATCGTCACTGGTGTTGGCCGTGAGCGGGAATCGAACCCGGGTCGCCGGGTTCATAGCGCAGCGCTCTAACTGCTACACTATCGCTCCCCACACACAGACAAACACACACAGACACACACACACAGACACACACACACAGACACACACACACAGACACACAGACACACAGACACACACACAGACACAGACACACAGACACACACACACAGACACACAGACACACACACAGACACACACACACAGACACACACCCGTTACATACCTTTCACTGCTCATTCACGCTCCAATGAATGAAATGCAGCAATGCCACTAAATGTACAACTTCACACCTGGGCACTTCTCACACAGCTAGACACAAACACAAAGCTCCCCCCTCCCCTCTGTGTAGCCTCACGCAGGCTATTAGATGGCTAGGAGATGTTGGCTACCTCGCCTGGTATACAGGAGGTCGTGGGTTCGATCCCGACCCCTGACGATGCCTGCTGCTGCTGTATATTTGGAGTTTGCGTGTCTCTCTCTCATCATCATCATCACGGTGGCTAGGAGATGTTAACTACCTCGCCTGGTGTACAGGAGGTCGTGGGTTCGATCCCGACCCCTGATGATGCCTGCTGCTGCTGTATATTTGGAGTCTGCGTGTCTCTCTCTCTCTCTCATCATCATCACGGTGGTTAGGAGATGTTAACTACCTCGCCTGGTGTACAGGAGGTGGTGGGTTCGATCCCGACCCCTGACGATGCCTGCTGCTGCTGTATATTTGGAGTCTGCGTGTCTCTCTCTCTCTCTCATCATCATCACGGTGGCTAGGAGATGTTGACTACCTCGCCTGGTGTACAGGAGGTCGTGGGTTCGATCCCAACTCTGACAACGCCTGCTGCTGCTGCTGTATATTTGGAGTTTGAGTGTCTCTCTCTCTCCTTGGTGGTCCCCCCCCCCCCTCTACGTTTAGAATCGACGTCGCCACGCGTTCAGAGTATTTGGCTGCTACCATGGATGTGATGTTGATGATGATGTTGATGATGTTGATGATGATGATGAGCTCACTTGGTCGATCTGCCATTTGAGGTAGCCGGACCGCTTCCGACAAATATCCCACGGCTCAGTGGGGGCCTTCGCCGACAAATACAAATACGATGTACAACGGAATCGGAAGGAACCGATTCCGTTCCCGTGACCGATTCCGTTCCGATGACGTGCACATACGTACGACGTACACCTACGCACGCACCTGAATCGCAAGGAACCGATTCCGTTCCGATGACCGATTCCGTCATCGGAACGGAACCGGAAGGGAAAAAAAACCCCGATTTAAGGTGAAAGGATTCAACGAGGATTCTGACGATTCTGATTCCGAATTCTCGACTTTCCCCCCCCCTTCCACCCCACCAACAGCGCGCCCTCCCCCCAGCTCGGCCCAGCCATGGTGGTCCTGGGCTCGCGGGCGCTGGCGCTGAGGGCCGTGCTGCTGGGGCCTCCGGGATCCGGCAAGGGCACCGTGGCCTCTCGCATCCGGAGCCGCTTCGGCCTCCAGACGCTGTCCACGGGCGACCTCGTCCGTGACCACATAGCTCGCAAGACCGGCAAGTGCAGGCACAGACACGCGCACAGACACGCGCACAGACACGCGCACGCACGCGCAGACACACGCACAGACACACGCACGGACACACGCACGGGCACACGCACAGACACACGCACGGACACACGCACGGACACACGCACAGACACACGCACGGACACACGCACGGGCACACGCACACGCAGACACACGCACACGCAGACACACGCACAGACACACGCACAGATACACGCGCAGACACACGCACAGATACACGCACAGATACATGCACAGACACACGCACAGACACACGCACGGACACACGCACGGACACACGCACAGACACACGCACAGACACACGCACGCACGTACACGCACAGACACGCACGTACACGCACACGCACACGCACGTACACGCATGTACACGCAGACACACACGCAGACACACACGCAGACACACGCACACATGCACACACAGACACACACACACACATGCACGCACAGACACGCACGTACAGTACACGCGGACGCACACGCACACACAGACACACACGCAAATATGAAGATGATGATGAAGACCATTTGTGTCCACCCACTCCCCCTGGGAGGAACGCTCTTCCTCTATCCGGTATGAGAACAAGAATGTAAAAACTTGATTTCAAGCTCTGTGTGTCTATGTTGTGTGTCTCTGTGTGTCTCTTTGTGTGTGTCTCTCTCTCTCCCCGTGTGTCTGTCTGTGTGTCTCCGTGTCTGTGTTTTGTCTCTCTCTCTCTCTCTCAACTTTAGTTCTACCCGTTATTTAATTGGTTTTCTTTCTACGTGACTTTACCGAAAGAACCAAAGAGTAACAACAATGTACTCTGTTAATCCGGGAAGAAATCCGATGAGCTGTGAAGCTCTTTATTCACACCAGATGATGTCCCAGTCGTCGTCGCAGATGTCCATCCAGGAAGCAAATGGAGCCATTGTAAAACTAACGCACGCACAAATCAAGGTTTTTTTTTTCCTCTGCGTGTTAGTCTGTTGTGTCCGTCTCTCTCCCGCCCGCCCGCACCTCCCATTAGCACGGTAGGCTACGTGCAGTGCAAAAGAAGTTCAACGCACGCACGCACGCACGTTGAGGGTATTTGTCTGCTGCTGTGACTTTCCGCGTGATGCTAAAGCCACTTTGTTGAAGCTGTCCTCTGTGAGAGCCTGGTCGCTTCGGGGAAAAAAAAAAACTTTACGTGGTTGCTCAGCAGGGGGCCTTGCCTGGTGACAAAAAATACAAAAATACAAAAAAAGGTTTAGTTTCAGCAGTTTAAATTGCGGTGGTGTTCGGGGTTAACGTTGGTCACGCTGGTAACGATGGGCAGAAGTCGCGAGAGCCACTGGCAAAGGTCGACGATGATCGTGAAACGTGGCGAAAGCCGACATGGTAAATCGCAACGTGACCTCCTGTGACCTGCCGTGCCCTGCCCTTACGTGCCGTGACCTCCCCTCACCTGCCATGACCTCCCATGACCTCCCCTGACCTGTGGTGACTTCCTGAGACATCCCGTGACCTCCACTCACCTCCCATGACCTCCCCTCACCTGCCATGACCTGTCATGACCTCCCATGGCCTCCCCTGACCTGTGGTGACTTCCTGAGACATCCCGTGACCTCCACTCACCTCCCGTGACCTGCCATGACCTCCCATTACCTCCCCTGACCTGTGGTGACTTCCTGAGACATCCCGTGACCTCCACTCACCTCCCGTGACCTCCCCTCACCTGCCATGACCTCCCGTGACCTCCTCTGACCTGTGGTTACTTCCCGTGACCTCCGCTGACCTCTCCTGACATCCCGTGACCTCCTCTCACCTGCCGTGACCTCCCGTTAATTTAAGAAACCTTTCTTTTACCAAGTAAAGCCCCACCGAGATGTTAATTTATTTTTCAGAAGCAAGCCGGCAATCACGAAGGATAGCCAATGAAGAAGTGGCTTCTCAGTCACGTGGAAGTTCATAGCAGCAGCAGCAGCAGCCGGATAATCTAATTTAGAATCAAGGTAATAATTTAGAAATCGACGCACACATTGATTTATAAATGTGGCGGGGGAACCCCCGGAGGATCCCAGAGAAAAATTCCGTGCGACCACCACGGTGAGAGAGAGAGAGAGAGACAGGGAGATGGAGAGAGTGAAAACACACAAACTCCACACATCTACAGCAGTCGTCGTCACGTTTGGGGCTCGAACACACGACCTCCTGCATACCGGGCAAAGTAGTTAACATCTCTCCCCGCCACCATGATGATGATGAGAGAGAGACACGCAAACTCAAAATATACAACAGCAGGCATTGTCAGGGGTCGAGATAGAACCCATGACCTCCTGTACACCGGGCGAGGTGGTTAACATCTCCTAGCTTCCGTGATGATGATGAGAGAGAGACACGCAAATTCCAAATATACAGTAGCAGCAGGCATTGTCAGGGGTCGGGATAGAACCCACGACCTCCTGTACACCGGGCGAGGTAGTTAACATCTCCTAGCTACCGTGATGATGATGAGAGAGACACGCAGACTCCAAATATACAGCAGCAGCAGGCATTGTCAGGGGTCGGGATAGAACCCACGACCTCCTGTACACCGGGCGAGGTAGTTAACATCTCCTAGCTACCGTGATGATGATGAGAGAGAGACACGCAAACTCCAAATATACAGTAGCAGCATGCATTGTCAGGGGTCGGGATAGAACCCACGACCTCCTGTACACCGGGCGAGGTAGTCAACATCTCCTAGCTACCGTGATGATGATGAGAGAGAGAGAGACACGCAAACTCCAAATATACAGCAGCAGCAGGCATTGTCAGGGGTCGGGATAGAACCCACGACCTCCTGTACACCGGGCGAGGTAGTCAACATCTCCTAGCCACCGTGATGATGATGATGAGAGAGACACGCAGACTCCAAATATACAGCAGCAGCAGGCATTGTCAGGGGTCGGGATAGAACCCACGACCTCCTGTACACCGGGCGAGGTAGTCAACATCTCCTAGCCACCGTGATGATGATGATGATGAGAGAGAGAGACACGCAGACTCCAAATATACAGCAGCAGGCGTCGTCACGTTCAGGCTCTAACCCACGACCTCCTGTACCCCGGGCGAGGTGATTAACATCTCTCCTCGCCACCACGGCGGCAGGCGGTGGAGGTGGCGTGAAGGGGGGAGGGGGCCCTGATACTTTCTCCTGTTTTGGCCGGACGCACCCGGCGGCGGCGGGGGTTTGGAGTGGAACTCGCGTGATGTGTGGTGACGGGGTCGACGGAGGTCGGTCCGCTGGTGATGGTTTGCGCCGTTGCCTTAACGCAGGGGAATTTGAGTTTTGCAGGTCCGTACGGCGGCGTCACAGCCGTTTCAATGCGGGCAGCAGCAACAACAACAACAACACAAATGTTTCGTGTTGTTTGTTTTGTGTTTCTCTCCTTGCGACTTTGTAGGATGAACGTTGAGATTTATAGGGGGCACGGGGTGACCAGCAATGTCTGAGTTGGTCTGTAGTAAGGTAGGGCACTGATATTGGGTTGACAGGTATGTAGTAGTGTAGTGTATAGTAGTGTAGTGAATAGTGTAGTGTATAGTGTAGTGTATAGTAGTGTAGTGTATAGTAGTGGTGTATAGTGGTGTAGTGTATAGTGGTGTAATGTATAGTAGTGTATAGTAGTGTAGTGTATAGTAGTGTAGTGTATAGTAGTGTAGTGTATAGTGGTGTAGTGTATAGTGGTGTAATGTATAGTAGTGTATAGTAGTGTAGTGTAGAGTAGTGTATAGTTGTGTAGTGTAATGTGGTGTAGTGTATAGTAGTGTAGTGTTTAGTGGTGTAGAGTATAGTAGTGTAGTTTATAGTAGTGTGTAGTGTATAGTAGTGTAATGTATAGTAGTGTAGTGTATAGTAGTGTAATGTATAGTAGTGTAGTGTATAGTAGTGTAATGCATAGTAGTTTAGTGTATAGTAGTGTAGTGTATAGAAGTGTAGTGTATAGTGTAGTGTATAGTGGTGTAATGTATAGTAGTGTAGTGTATAGTGTAATGTATAGTAGTGTATAGTAGTGTAATGTATAGTAGTGTAGTGTATAGTAGTGTAGTGTATAGTATAGTGTATAGTAGTGTAGTGTATAGTAGTGTATAGTAGTGTAGTGTAAAGTAGTGTAGTGTATAGTAGTGTAGTGTATAGTAGTATAGTGTATAGTAGTGTATAGTAGTGTAGTGTATAGTAGTGTAGTGTATAGTGGTGTAATGCATTGTGGTGTAGTGTATAGTAGTGTAATGTATAGTGGTGTAATGTATAGTGGTGTAATGTATAGTAGTGTAGTGTATAGTAGTGTAGTGTATAGTAGTGTAGTGTATAGTAGTGTAGTGTATAGTAGTGTAATGTATAGTAGTGTAGTGTATAGTGGTGTAGTGTATAATGGTGTAGTGTATAGTGGTGTAGTGTATAGTAGTGTAGTGTATAGTAGTGTAGTGTATAGTAGTGTAGTGTATAGTAGTGTAGTCATGTATAGTAGTGTAGTCATGTATAGTAGTGCAGTGTATAGTGGTGTAGTGTATAGTAGTGTAGTGTATAGTAGTGTAGTGTATAGTAGTGTAGTTTATAGTGGTGTAGTGGTTAGTGGTGTAGTGTATAGTAGTGAATAGTAGTGTATAGTAGTGTATAGTGTATAGTAGTGTATAGTAGTGTAATGTATAGTAGTGTAGTGTATAGTAGTGTAATGTATAGTAGTGTAATGTATAGTAGTGTAGTGTATAGTAGTGTAGTGTATAGTAGTGTAATGTATAGTAGTGTAATGTATAGTAGTGTAGTGTATAGTGGTGTAGTGTATAGTGGTGTAGTGTATAGTAGTGTAGTGTATAGTAGTGTTGTGTATAGTAGTGTAGTGTATAGTACTGTAGTGTGTAGTAGTGTAGTGTATAGTAGTGTAGTGTATAGTAGTGTAGTGTATTGTAGTGTATAGTAGTGTAGTGTGTAGTGTATAGTAGTGTAGTGTATAGTAGTGTAG